CTCAAGAACCTTCTGGTTCTGATTCCAATAAATCAACACCTACCAATGGTGAGTGGTAGTCTGTGTATTATTATTAGTCACATTTATTTCTGCAGTTGCTCCTCTTTACATTCCACAATATAAAAGTCGAGATTTTGATGTGCTTTATGCAAAATTTGCAGAAATGTTTGCTAATGTTCGCAAAGTTATTTTTAAATTTCGACCTCCTTTAAAAGAACTTAAGATGTTTATTGAAGATTTCGACTCTGACCTTGAAGCAGAATTGAGTTTGATAAAAAATCTTCAAGGTGTTATGCGTCTGATTAGAAACAATTGCCGTCTCATTAATATTGTGATTCTTGAAGCTGTTGTTAAGCATTTTAAGATTGATGATGCTCAGAAATACATTGATGATTACAAGAGAGACATTGATGAGTCATGTCATAATTTATCAGTTGATCTGTGCTTGAATGAGCCATTTGATGTAGTTAGGGCCAGTCCTCCTCTTAAATGTGAAACAGCTACTTATGTACTTGGATGGGAAGCTACTGAGCATAAGCTAAAGGACGTTACAGAAATCGTGTCAAAATCTTCTGATAAATTTGTAAAGATACTTGACATCAAAAGCATTGAATCCATTACAATCACTTGCTCCTTCCCTCACTCTCTCACTGGAGCTCTCATTATAAAATTGAGTGAGAATCTTGAATTATTAATAAAGAATGGTCTAATGAAGCTTACTGTTGGATACTGCACCATATGGAAGAAAAAAGTATGTATTATTATCTAAGTATAACTATAATTAATTGTTAAAAATGATCTTTAAATCTTATCATATCATGATCTCATTATGATCTTTAAAGCCCACCACCCACTATTCAACTTTGTTGAAAGCAACTTTGTGGTTAGCTGACAGCACATCAAAGTAACCACAAATGTTGCTAGCAACATGTTGCCTAGTGTATGGTGGGCTTTAAAGATCATGATGGTGGACAGCTTTGATTTTCAAAAATGAAATCCTTGAAAATATTTTTGGGTGGCTCCATGAAAGTTATATCCTGGCAATATCTCAATCTAAAAAGTTTCTGGCTTTATGGTATACTGTCAGTATGAATGGTGTATTATACAGAAGCCAGTACAATGAGTGAATTCATGCTTGTGTGACATTACTGTCATGTTGTTACAGTGAAACCTGTCCTAAAGGTCACCTGAATAATAAGGCCACCTCTCTATTACAGCCATAAGCCAAAATCCTGTACTAAATGGCTGTATTACAGAGGCTGATCTGTAATGCAACCACCTGCATAATCAGGCCATTTAAAACTGGCCCAAGGGTGACCGGATTAAGCAGGTTTCACTGTATAAGGTCTAAAGACTTTTATGCTAGGGTTTATAGTTTTAGTTTTGGGGTTGGGGTTTGAATACTAATAAATTCTAGTATATACTTGGTAACTGATAGGTAAGAAATCAGACTCTAGTCTCACCTCACCCCTTCACTCAAACTCAAAAAGTACTAGCAACATCAGTAGACAACACAAATCAACTGCAAAGTATGTTTAGTTATATACTTATTTCTTATACTAAATACAATTATTTTATAGTTACTGATCTTGCTGAGGTACTTCAATTACTCAAAAGACATGGTTTTTCAGCAACCACTTACTATGATCTTGGTCTATATTTTGGTCTATCCTCTGCTACACTGACTGTTATTATAGTGAATAGCAAAGGAAATGTTTTAGCATGTCTGTGTGAGTGTCTCAAAGCATGGCTAGAGAAAGCTGATGATGTACAGAAAAAAGGTGGTCCTACTATCTATTCATTGGTATCAGCATTGAGGGAATTAGGAGAGAATGGAGTAGCTGATGGAATAGATATGGAGAGTAAGTTTAATAAAAATTAGTGTTAATTACTAGATCTATTTCTTCGTAGAGCATCCTGCTTGTAAAATTCTTGCTTGTCATTTAGTTCAACAGTCTCTTTTGACTGCCTTGCCACAGTTGGTTATACTTTTACAAATAGAAAAAATGATAAAAGAGATGATCCTCCCAGCTAATATACAAGGAGAGGATCTGTTGATTCAAATAAAAGAAACTGTTTGCAAGGATTATCAAAAACTGAAAGTATTTGCTGAGATTTTGTGCAAAGTAAAAGCCTTTGCTGAGATAGGAAATACTATCATGAAAGAGTACAGTAAGTTAATTGCAGCATGAACAATAAAATTGATAATTGTCTTACAGGAGAAGCTTATTGCACTAATGACTTCATTCAAGCAAATGATGCCATTGGTAAGAATTAACAATTTATGATTATCATATATTACTTTATGCAGAACTGAAGATTTATCTTCCTATTAATGTTACTTTACAGCTTAAGATGATGCGATTAAAGATGGGCCAGACATTCTTCAAAGTAGGATCAATCATGATGAGCAACCCTCAGTCTCCATCCCTTGATAATATCAAATCAGTATTGCGTACATATGACAAAGCATTAAGACCTCAAGTGGCTCAGTGTCAAGATATTCGTGAACTTTTAGAATTAGTTTGTGATAACTGTCAGCTTGATGATATTAGTATGCTGGAGTTTTTTGTTAATGAGTTCAATATAGAGGAGGCTAAGCCAGTTATTAAGGAATATAAAGAAGCTGTTGAGGAGCTAAAGGAAATAAAACTCAGTCAGTGTCTAGAAGAGCAGCTTTCATATCCTTTGCCACTTGAGTGTGAAATAATTATCATTATTGTGGATAAAGATACTTATAAAACCACACTTAGGGATGTACAGAGACTGTCATCAGCTGTACTTAAGAATTTATCACCACATGTCGAGATAATTGTCATTGGAGAAGGCAATTAGAACTAGAAACTATAGCAACATGCCATTGATTTTCCCTGTTCACTGTTTTCCGTGAATTATTTGCTACGTGTAATTATTCCAAATAATAATTATTAAAATGATGATAATGAAGGGAATGGGTTTTGTTTGCTGACAACCAGTTTTTGATGACTGTGTGATATGTAACCTTTTATTTTACCCTAAAAATAAAAAATAGAAATAACATTATAGGCTCTTCTTCTATCTCTCTCTCCACCTTATCAATAAGATTGGCTATGATACATTCAACTTCATCAGCATCAATCTCATCCTCCTATACAATACATAATATACAATAATAATAGCCACAACAAAAGCAAATTGGAATCAGCTCAAAGCTTATGTACAAAAGACAAGAGTAGAATATCAAGAATAGCTGGGATTTTCTTTTAGTTTACTGATTAATGGATCATGCCATACAGCTGAAAATACTATGATTAAAAATTTGCAATTGATGACTTAAGGCTGGTTTGAAATATGATGTTAGGCCAGCATATTGTCAATTTTTAATCAAAAACGTGGGAAATTTGACCTTTTGACACATGCTTTCGACTAGAATAATCCAATTACTATTCCAGTGTCGATGTAATATCAGGCCTATCGTAATATTGTAAACCTGCCTTTAGCAGCTACATGTACATGTACATGCATGTGTCATTGAGCATGCGAAGAATGAGCAGATTATAAATGGTGGATCAACCAATCTGACAATCAGTTCCTTCCAACTGTTTTACAGTAGTTTTGGCCAAAATCCACTCATATTTAAAATGCTCATAATTCAAAAATATCATTTGCGACTTTTAACAGTTCAAAATTTCTACATAGCACATATTATAAATACATGCACATGCACATGTATGTGATAAAATCACAGGAATAATTTAATTGTTATTAAACTAACTTTATTTAATTTCAATGAATCCTCAAAAGCTTTCAATTCTAACTGATGAATCCTGCCAAGCAATATCCAACTATAAGTAATAATAATAATAAATTTATAATTAATAAAAATAAATAATTTACACTTTCTTGAAGAGGTTTCTTAATGCGACAGTCCTTAGTTTTTCCAATATTAGATAAATACCAGCCTTAATGAAGAAACCCTATCAATTATTAACAGTTATATCAATAATTATTAATAGTTAAATTAATAGTTATTAGTAGTTATTAATACCTCATGCTCCTCCAAAGCTTTCGCAAACATGTAAAGATTACCAGTACTGAATAAAGAGAGAGAGAGAGAAATAGAATATAAAATAATATCACCAAAATAATTGCCAAAACTGAGCCGGAATCAGCTCAAACTTGCTACACAGCATAAGGACATCAATATGTATCAAAAAATGTAATAAAAATTTGGGATGATTTCGGAGCCATTTTTTGGAAAGACTCATGGGCCTTGGGTAATTTTCAAAAATTTGACAATTTCTAAAAATGGTCATAACTTGAAAAATTTAAGTCGGAATTGGCTCAAACTTTCTACACAGCATAAGGACATTGATATGTATCAGAAAATGTAATAAAAATTTGGGATGATTTTGGAGCCATCAGAAAATGTAATAAAAACTTTGGTATATAAGCAATAATTATTTTAGAACATAAAACTGCTAATATTCTCCCTACATTACATGTATATACATGTACATGTAGATACAGTATACACACTGCCTCCCTCACCTAACAGTTAGTGCTACATCATAAAAAGGTAATAAATTATACTCATCCAATAATTCTTTCCTTGGCATTTGACCCTATTAATGAATCAATTAATCAATTACTTAATTAATTAATAAAATTATTAATTAACTCACAAACATCATCTTTAATGGTATTAGATAAGTAAGAATCAGCCTATTAATTTATAATAAAATTAATTAATAATAGTTACATGTACTTACTTCTTATTATGATGACAAGATTTATGACAATGAGAGAAAGCAAACTGAAGTGCTTCAGAAGCTAATAAAGAAAGAGAAAGAGGGAGAGACTGTACATGTATATTTGAAAAAGTTGGTGGTAAATAAAAGTTAGCAGTTTTGGCATTTGAAGCAAAATTCCTAAAATTAAAAACTGTCAATAATTTAACATCAGTCAATTCTGTCAATTCCGGACACCTTGGGACCCAATAATACCCTAGCTCCTGATTATGAACCTGTCCTTATTTCAGAGGTTCATTAATACACATTACCATAGATAATAGAGTAAATGAAAGGGATTGGAAACTACCGTTCCCGCCCAGTGATGCGGTTTTCGTCACCCCTGGTTACCTGGTTGGCAACGTCCGTGTTTATCTGCATTCCCCATCTCCTCCACAGTAGTTGTTGTGCGGAAAGGATCTCGAAGGAATATTGTGTGACTATTAGATAGCGCTTGCTTATGATATATCTTCTGTTCCACATAGAAAGTTTATGGCTACCTATAGCAGGGTTTTTGTTTCAATAGAGCTATTTTTCGACCAGTTATGGGTACACAAAGTCGGCATCTTTTTTGACACCTTTTCGCCTCTACAGCTTTCATGCTTTTGCTATTCTAGTGTTGCCTCATATCATTCCATAGGTAATTGAAAGTTTTTTTATATTCTGACAAGCTTTTTAGAGTTTAGCTACAATTGTCTTCATTAGAGGGAGAAAACAGCAATTTTATGGGCAAAAGCGCTATAACACTCAAAATATTAATTTAAAAATATCAGATAAATAATAATTAACAGTGCAAAACATTGAACCCCTTGATAGTCAAGTTTCTTTTTCATCAGAGCACTCTTCTTAGAGTTATTCTAATTTTAATGGAAAAAAATCAAGAATTTTGTGGTCAAAAGGTAACAAACCGCCTAGTCAGCAATTTTTTTGCTTAGCAACAATACAATCAAATGGCATTATTGCTACGCCCACGCGGAAGTTTCCAATCCCTTTCATTTACTCTAATATCTATGACATTACTATTGTATTGGGACTGATACTACCTGTCCTCATTATAGAGGTGTCCTTATTTTAGAGTGGCTTCACAATAGCAAGGCAGGCTTTCATACAGAAATTTTATGTGGAGGGGGGGAACTCTAAACTGTGCTAGTTTCTGCATACACTGTACATGTACAATGTAAGTGATATATCAATGGTGTGACAATGAGCATGAATAGGGGGGGAACCTAATGTGAGGGGGGGGAAATCCCAGTGCCCCCCCTATGTATGAAACCCTGCAGGGTATACTGTACTTGTATAATTATCTATATAAACCTGGGTTCCTTTGATGTGGTGTGTTATGAGTACGACCCACGATAGCCTGGTCAAATATAGTCAGTATATAACGTATAGCATTAAACTACTGATCATCAATGTCTGACTTGGAAACTTCCAAAACAATTTTTGGAGGGACAGTGTACTTTTGTACTTGTCCCTTCCACTCAATCTTTGTTTTAGTATTTTATACTGCTGGGTGATACTTGAAATTTTGAAATGGCATAATAAATTGATGCCATATAGTAGGTTTATTTGAGGGTAATAATTTTCACAAATGGCCTGTAT